TATGACCACACCTAATAACATGGCCACATGTGATTACCCATATATATATATATATATATATATATATATATATATATATATATTACATACAGTATCTATCTATAGAGTGTGAAAGGAGAAGTAGAGGAAGGGATGTGAGGAGGAAGAGGCTAGAGGAGGAAGAGTTGAAAAATGACTTACCAAAAAAAAAAAAGGGAAGTCATTTTCCCCCAAAACATACATATTTTCCTTTGACTAATGAATCATTTTCCATTGACCTCATTTTCCCCCATCCTGCCAAACACTGAAAATTTGGAAAACATTTTTGGGAAGTCATTTTCCGAGTTTCCAAACGCACCCTTAATCTAATCTATATCATTAAAAAAAAAAAATATTAGATGGATGCACATGATGTGTTCTCATGTTCTCACCTAAGCACATGTTCTCACCGGAATCCTACCACACACACACACACACACACACACACACACACACACACACACACACACACACACACACACACACACACACACACACACACACACACACACACACACACACACACACACACACACACACATATATATATATATATATATATATATATATATATTAAAAAATTACTACAGCTGCACTACTACTTTTTAAGAACAAGAAATACGTACTTTGAGTAGGGGTGTGCAAACTTCAGATAATTTTCGGTTAATCGATCGAACCGACAAAGTTCAATTAATCGTTTTTTAACTGAACTTTTTCAGTTCGGTTAATGGTTAAAGGTTTTTCCAAAGTTCGGTTAACGGTTAATTCGGTTTGAAAGTGTCCGTTAACCGAATGGTTAATCGAATTTTTTAATATATATATATATATATATATATATATATATATAATGTATTAAATATTTAAATGTAATATGTTTATAATGTTGTTACGGTATTGTTTTTGTATATTTTGTTATGAATTTATTATGATATGTATTATTTTGATTGAATTTATTATTTTAGGTGTTATTTTTAGGATTTTAAATTTTACCTTAAAAAGTTTGATTAACCGAAAAAAATTGGTTCGATTAATTCGGTAACACAAACTTTAGTTCGGTTAACGGTTAAATGTTTAAAAACTTCGGTTAAATCGGTTCGATTAACCCAGAGCCGTCTCTGGGCATGACTGCCCAGGGCACTTGCACAGGGCCCCCAAAATTTGGGGCCCCAAGTAGAGAACATGTATATACATATACTATACAGCAGGCAGCGCACTGCCTGCTGTATAGTATGTGCATATATTAATATTTTATTTTCTTTTTTTAAACAATTGGCCCCCAAATTTGGGGGCCAATTGTTAAAAAAAAAAAAAATTATATACTTATATACATATATAATATATTATATGAGTTATTTATATTGGTCATGTTTGGTAAGATAGTTAGCTTATCTATTAATTTTGGCTTATTTGATTATTTTTAACTATTTGACATGGTTAAAAAATTAATATAAGTGTTTGGTTAATCAATTTTCTGTAATTCCAAAAAGCTAAAATTCAAAAAGATGCTCAAAGCAATTTTTTCAATTAGCTTTTTGAGAAAAATAAATTATACCAAACAACTATCAGTTAATTTACCAAATATTTTTCTACAATCAACTAATGTTATCAATTAGTCTACCTTCTAACCCATTCAGCTATCAGCTAACATCCATTTACAAAATAGGCCATCATTTTTTTTACAATTGGGCCCCAAATTTGGGGGCATAATTGTAAAAAAAATAATAAAATTATATACTTATATACATATATATTATATGAGGATTGTCAACCCGGTTACCATTCCAAATGGATGTTCATAGGTTTGAACCTCGGTGGTGGGGGCTTAGATTCTTTGATTTTCTAGAAGTGGTCTGAGTGGAGGTCGTCGGCCGGTAGTATACTTACTGTATACAAGTTTCGAATTTCAAAGACTGAAGTTCTTCATTAAGTAGTTTAATCAGGGTCTGGAGGAGTGGTTCAAGGTGTACAAAAAAAACTCTTGGATGTAAATTGTAGAGCATTTTATACTTGTACTTGTAGTCACAGTCTTAACTTGACTTTGAGTGCATGATATTGCAAATAGTTGTGGCAAAACAAGGGATTCCTTTAGAGTAGTGCAACGTATTTATACAATTGAACAACTATTATTTATATATATGAAATACTTGAAAAGGGGCCCAAATTACGATATTGTACAGGACCTCCATTTTTATTGGAACGGCCCTGGATTAACCGATCGAACACCCCTAACTTTGAGTGAATATGTAAAATTTCCTTGTGCGCACCGGCATTTGGCCCTGCCTACTAACCCATTGAGTCACTGTGATTTACATCCTCCCACATGCTCTGTCGGGTCGGAGTGTGGGGGCACTTAGGGTTGGGGATTTAGCCTTTTGGAATAAGTGAATATGTAAAATTTATTGACCTATAAAAATATTACATTTTTGCACTAAAAAGTATTGCATATTTGAGATATGTCTCATATAAGATAGTTTTACATAATTTTTTATGTGATTCAATTATGGAAAAAAAAAACTACTAAAATTGTATCATAATATTCTCACATGATTTTGTAGTTACTAAAAAAGAAACAAATTTTTTTATTAATTACCTATTAAAGTGTTAATTAACTGAGAAAATTTCAATTTTGGTCATATGACTATAGGGGTATTGTTAATTTCAGTCCTTGACTTTTAAAAGTGTCAATTTAGTACCTTAACTATTCAATTTTTGTCAATTTTGGTCACTCTGGTCAAATTGCCGGCCAAATTTTGCCGGAAAATTTTAATTGTTAAAATAATGAGGGTATTCTGGCAATTTCACGTCTCTTTTCTTCTTCGCAGGCGAGTCCATCCCTTCCTCTCCCGTTTCTAGCGAATGCAATGAACTAAGATGATGTGGAAAGAAGGCTTGATGATATTAAAGATATGGTTTACATGGAGAAAGAACGCCGGAAACGGGAGAGAAAAGGATTGACTCGCCGGAGAAGAAGAAAAGAGGCTTGAAATGACCAAAATATCCTCATTATTTTAACTATTAAAATTTTCCGGTGAAATTTGGCCGGCAATTTGACCGGAGTGACCAAAATTGACAAAAATCGCATAGTTATAATACTAAATTGACACTTTTAAAAGTCAGTGACTGAAATTAACAAAACCCCTATAGTCATATGACCAAAATTGAAATTTCCTCTTAATCAACTCTACTATAACTCCCAACCAAAAAAAAAAAAAACTCTACTATAACTCAATAAAAAGTCTACACAATAACAATTACAGTAAAAAAATTATCCAATACTATAATTGCATGTCAGTAATACATATTAACAATAAATTTTTATATAAAATATTGCATGACTCTTTATAAATCTATAATTATTTTAATACGATAAATCATGGTATAAAAAATATTTATTTACAAAGATGAGTGGCTTAAGTTTGAGCACGTTTATGAGCAGCCCAAAAGAAAAAATAAATAAAATAAGAAAATTGATTCATTTAAGAGCGGTCATGGGCAAAATGGAAATGATGGCACACTTTTGAATTGACTTCAAAATGGGTACACTACAAATAATCCGAAGAAAAAAACAACCTAACAATATAAAAAATAAAGCATGGCAAGGGAAGGATGTATGTGAAAAACAAAATAAGGCTTAATGATGCTTAGAAGGTCTGTATTTGATTTATGTGTATATAAAGACTAAGGGAATTGCGCGACTCGCAATTAACCACTGCAATGACTCTAGGAACGGAATTTTGTAAACTTAGAATTAGTCCAACGAAGTTGTGATTACATAAAAAACAATAACAATATAAAAAATAAAGGATGCCAATGCAAGGATGTATGTGAAAAACATAAAAACACTTAAGATGCTGGAAGATATCCTTTGCGGCAAATTATATCGTGCACCGCGGTACATAATTAATTATGCGCCGCGTATCAAAACGACCTCGTTTTGTTTAATGAAAAGAAACGGCATCCGTTTCCCGTCGTTCTGCACCCTTCCGCAAAAAAGTAACTTTGTTATTCAGTTTCATTTTGTATACACTGCAGTTTCAGTTTAACACAACTACAGTTTCATTCGATATTTATAGACTCAAATATGTGAAAATATTATTTAGTTTTATTTTATATACACTAAGTTTTATTAAAACACAACTACATGATCATTTTGATATAATTACAGTTTCATTGTACAATATACACTCAAATGTGTGAAATGTTATTCTGTTTCATTTTATATACACTGCAGTTTCATTTCACCACAACTACTGTATAACTTTGATATAACTGCAGTTTCATTTAATAATATAAAAATAATACGTGAGGCAGTGTTGATTTAGATATATTATAGTGTCAATTGGTAATTAACATACAGAAAAATGCGCGTTCCGTTACCGTTTCTTTACTTAAAGAAACGGCGCCATTTTGGCCGTGGTGCACGTGCACCGCGGTCCACGATATAACGATCCTTGTGTGCAAATGAAGACTCAAATTTTATTAATGGACTGATTGCGCGACACGTGATTTACCTCCACAGTGACTCTAGGAACGAGATTATGTGGAGTTAGGATTAATTCGACGAAGTTGGGATCACATAAAAAACAACAACAATGTAAAAAATAAAGGATGAAAAGTTAAAGAATAAATTTTGTGTAAGTATAATATTTTTTATAAATACATTAATAAAAGTATTATACATCGAATTCGGAGAGTCTCACCCAAAATAAAATTAACAAAATACATTAATAAAAAAGTATTATACATCGAATTTGGAGAGTCTCACACAAAATTAAATTAACAAAATACAGCATATTCTTAATTCTTTTTTTTTTTTTTTTAATTTAATGATTGATTTATTTTATTACTAGTAACTAGTGTTAGGTGAGTTTTAATAGTCAAGTCTGGTTTGGTAGGCGTTGCGCCTTGCGCCCCTTCAGTTCTCCCCATGTGTCTCTGTGTGTATATATAAATATATATATTTCTCTCTTCCATTTCTTCAACTAAGAGTCTCTCCAAATCTCACCTAAGTTCTCCCACCCATTTTCACCTACTTCCCTCCAAGTCCATAGCCAGGGGACTCAAGAAAAGAAAACCCATTTCTTGATTGTTGAGTGATCGGAGATGGAACCCACCTCGGAGAAGCTCTCGCCGTTCGATTTCATGGCAGCGATCTTCAAGGGTGGGAGGATCTTCGACCAGTCCAACGCGTCGTCGGAGTCCGCGTCGCCGGTGGCGATGCTGATGGACAACAAGGAGCTGATGGCGATGCTCACCACGTCGGTGGCGGTGCTGATAGGCTGCGTCTTCGTGCTGGTGTGGCGGCGCGCGTCCTCGTCGGCGAAGAAGGCGGTGGAGCCGCCGAATCCAGAAGTGCCCAAGGCGGCGGAGGAGGAGACGGGGGAGGATGGGAGGAAGAAGATCACCATCTTCTTCGGAACCCAGACCGGCACAGCTGAAGGCTTCGCTAAGGTTTGTGAACTAATAACTTTTAGAACAAAAAACAAAAAAAAAGTTCAACTTTTTTTGATCGAAATGTCAAAATCAAAGAATCCTTCAAGTTTCCGCCTTATTGACAAGTGAATTCACAATAAAAGTCTTGTTAAATTCTTCACTGATCTTGAGGGCAATATTGTCATTCAGGCACTTGCTGAAGAAGCAAAAGCAAGATATGAGAAGGCCAATGTTAAGGTGGTTGATTTGGTGAGTGATTTAATTTTTAGTTTTTAATTATTATTATTATTGTTCCTTTTTTTATTGCATGAATTAATGATATGGCTCATTTCTATAGGATGATTATGCGGTTGATGATGATGAATACGAGGAGAAACTGAAGAAAGAAAGTCTGGTCTTTTTCTTTTTGGCCACGTAAGTTGTCCTAGTAATCATAATTTCCATATTCTCTAAATTTGATGATGAGAATTGAGAAGGGATCCATTCCTATGTTGATCTATATTTTAATATTGTCTTGGTAACTTTATTTCCTTATGGATTTGGCCTGATGGTCCCTTTATCGGCCTCCGATCAACAATTCTCTCTCCGGGGGGCTTGAACCTGTAATTTGGCTCAAAATTGTAGTTTGTAGCGAAGATACAACTTTATTTCATTATAGACTGCCATGACATTTTTTATAGCCACTAAATTGATGGACTTGGTCCCTTTATGTGCCCAACAGTGATGATTGAACTTGGTTGGTTTTTGCTCGATTTCAGGTATGGAGATGGTGAGCCAACTGATAATGCTGCAAGATTTTATAAATGGTTTTCTGAGGTAAAAAATTGCTTTTGCCTTTTTGAATGATCTGGAAAATCAATGAATTTTAGTTTATGCTGGTTTGTAGCTTAATGATTACATTTCTCGGTTTGTACAGGGAAAAGAGAGGGGTGTATGGCTTAAAGATCTTCGGTATGGTGTATTTGGTCTTGGGAATCGGCAGTATGAGCATTTCAACAAGGTCTGATATGTTCATTTGGTATCAAATTCACATACCATTTTATCGGTATTTATAGTATATTTGAACATATTGGTTATGGTCTTTTTTGCTTAGTAAAAGTGTTTTCTTTTTCCCCTGATTTATTTGGTCACAGATTGCCAAAGTAGTTGATGATGTTCTTGCCGAGCAAGGTATATATATTTACTTCAATACTTTTCAGTAGTTTCTTCAATATGCACTCTCTAGTAACGGGATTTGCTTTGATATCTTTTATATTTTGGTACATTACGTGCTCCATTTTGTTCATTGCAGGTGGGCAACGACTAGTGCCGGTGGGTATGGGAGACGATGATCAATGCATTGAAGATGACTTTTCTGCATGGTATAGCACATGGACTTACTTTAAAATTGATGAGATTGATTACCGTTATTATATGTTGCTAAATGTGTATTTCCAATTTGAACTTGTAGGCGAGAGAATGTGTGGCCTGAGTTGGATAATTTACTCCGTGATGAAGATGGTGCAACGAGTGCTACTCCCTATACTGCTGCGGTTTTGGAATATAGAGTTGTGTTGAGTGACCAGGATGAATCGATCAAAGTAAACGGACTTGCTAATGGCCTGGCAAATGGTCATGGTGTTTATGATGCCCAGCATCCCTGCAGGTTCGAAAGAGGCTTAATTCGAAAAAATAAGAGAGAATATATGGGTTTATAAGTCTGTGGGTTAGACTAGCTAATTGATTGGATTTAATCTTTTAGTGCTGTTTGACTCATGTGCATTATAGCCCAGTTAAGTGACTTTGGCTCCTAATCTTTTTATGTTCTTGCACATTCGTGTTTTGGGTTTTCAGAGCTAATGTAGCCGTGAGAAGGGAACTTCATACTACAGAATCTGATCGCTCTTGTACTCATCTGGAGTTTGACATTTCGGGAACTGGACTATCGTAAGTGGCTATTTAGAACTATTGATACTAAAAGTACTTCCGACATTATTGGTGAGAGCTTTTAAGAATCTTCTCACAAATACAAATGTTTTGAACAGGTATGAAACTGGGGACCATGTTGGCGTATATTGTGAAAATTTAATTGAAACAGTGGAGGAAGCCGAAAGATTACTGAACATACCACCTAATACGTTCTTTTCCATTCACACCGATAAAGAGGATGGCACACCACTTGGCTCATTGCCGCCTCCCTTCCCTCCTTGTACATTAAGAACGGCACTGACTAAATATGCCGATCTCTTGGGCTCACCTAAAAAGGTAGGTCATTTCCTCGAGCTGATTGGCTATTAGAATAGATTTTCAGAGCAATATCTGTGAATTGAAGTGATTGTATTTTGGGTTTACAGTCTGCTTTGCTTGCTTTGGCGGCCTATGCTTCTGATCCATCTGAAGCTGATCGCTTGAGGCATCTTGCATCCCCGGCTGGAAAGGTAAGGACTTCGTCTCGTTATAACTTCTACTATGCTCCCTGGGATCATTTTTCTTATTGAAAATCTGTCTCCATTTCAGGAGGAATATGCACAATGGGTAGTTGCGAGCCAGAGAAGCCTTCTTGAAGTAATGGCTGCATTTCCTTCAGCCAAGCCTCCACTCGGAGTTTTCTTTGCAGGAGTTGCTCCACGTCTGCAGCCGAGATTTTATTCTATCTCGTCCTCTCCAAGGTAAAAAGTTCAAATAAATATTTCAACTTTTTAGTTAAACTCAACCCTATATTTGTTCTCATTTTACTCGAAAAATTACTCCGGATTTGTTCTTATAATCAACATCTATATTATGTAGAATGGCCCCTACACGAATCCATGTCACTTGTGCCTTAGTATATGACAAAATTCCTACTGGCCGCATCCACAAGGGGATCTGTTCAACATGGATAAAGGTATTTTCTTGCGTTCTATTTGAATTTTATGGCTGAATATTCACAATCTGCAAATTTCTTGGAGTCTATAGACAATAAAGAAGCATTATTTCAGTGTGTTCTGTATCAACTCACTCGAGACAATTTTTGCCCATCCAGAATGCGGTTCCTTTGGAGGAAAGCCCTGACTGCAGCTGGGCACCCGTGTTTGTTAGGCAATCTAACTTCAGACTACCTGCTGAAACTAAAGTACCCATTATAATGATTGGTCCGGGAACTGGATTAGCTCCATTCAGGGGCTTTCTTCAGGTTAGATAAACGATATTCTTATTGTTATTGATGATGTATTTTCCTGTTTCCTATAAATATTTTGCACTTTATCAAGCGTAATTATGAGATGTGCATTGTTTTACAGGAAAGGTTGGCACTGAAGGAAGAAGGTGCAGAACTTGGTCCGGCTTTGTTGTTTTTTGGATGCAGGAACCGCAAAATGGTGAGGAGTCTGTGATTGATTTTAAGCGGTGATTTAGTTTAGTTGTGTATAGTACAATCTAATCTATAATGTAATTTGCAGGACTATATCTATGAGGATGAATTGAACAACTTTGTCGAGACTGGTGCACTTTCTGAGCTAATTATTGCTTTCTCGCGTGAAGGGCCTACCAAGGAATATGTTCAACATAAGATGAGCCAAAAAGTATGTGTTTTTGCATTTATAGTCATCACTATATGTGTGGTGAAGATTAATTTTTGTCGACTTGATGATATTAATTTGTTCGTGTGTGTGCTCAGGCAGCGGATATCTGGAACTTGATTTCTCAAGGAGCATACCTCTATGTATGCGGTGATGCCAAAGGCATGGCTAGAGATGTTCACCGAACTCTCCATACTATTTTCCAAGAGCAGGTATGACCCTTTTCCTCTTAACTCTATTGTTCTCAAAGTTGATTTGATATATAGCCGTTCGCACTGGGCTAGCCTAATTGAACGGTTAAGTGCTGGCCATATTGGTTTAGAGGGTTTTGAACTCTCGACTTTTCCTAAGGGATGAGACTGCACAGCCATCACGCCAACCAAGCTGGTTATCCTTCTATTATTTAGCCACGTGCAAATTGTGTTCGTATCTCTACCCCTTGTGCCAAAGGTGTCCCCGAGGGTTTATTTTTGGGACCAATGGTCTTATAAACCCATATTTTCTCTTATTTTTTTCAATGTGGGACTCTTAACAGAAAGAAAACATCCCTTCATTCCGACCTAACAATTTGGTTGATTTCAATTTCAGGGATCACTCGACAGCTCCAAGGCCGAGAGTATGGTGAAGAATCTGCAGATGAGCGGAAGGTATCTGCGCGATGTATGGTAATAGCTTCTACCTGCCCCTGATAATTGGGAGAGAAAGGAACCAAAGGAATGTTAAGTTATGCAATGGCCTATATATCAAGGCCACTTTTGAAGGAAATCTGCCAGTCTACTTCACCAAATTAAGTGTTCGTACAATGATTCTTTTCTTTATTATTATATTCAAGGGAAATGCAGTTCATGTAATTTATATTTGTAAACAAGTAATGCAAAATAATTTAAGCATTAATTTTAGGCATAGTAAGTATACTTTGTGTAATACCTTTGATGAGTCTGAACAATGGCTTTGACTGCCATAATATGATTTTGGTAAATGTGTTTTCTCAACTAAGTAATATAAAGTTCTTTACCAAGCAAAGCTTTTCTTATTTGATAATTTCAAGGTTTTTTAATTTCTATAGGGGAGTCCTACTAAAGTTACGGAGTATTTTATTTATTTGTTTTGTTTTGTTTTTTTTTTTTTTTTTTTAGTGTAAGAAGTAACCTTGGAAAAAGTAAGGCTGGAGGGGCAGACCTCCCTTCTTTACGGTCAACTATAAATACAGCTCTTTTAGTTAGTGAATGGGTAAAATTTTATTTGCAGATTGTTTAGCAAATACAAAGCTAATATTATAAAAATTATTAGTTAGGGCTCTAATATGTTCCAAAATAAAAATCAAAAGATGTGTCGCAACCTTCACTTCTTATGCCTCCCCAATGACCAATAATGCATAATATTCTACTTGTGCCTCTTCCACTCCTAACCCCTTTAGTTATTTTAGAGCTTCCCGCACTCCTAAAGCTTCGGCCATTTTTGCATGACGGCACACTTTCATGTTCATTTCCAATGCTGCTATGAATTGGCCCTCAGAATCACGTTGGATAAGCCACAAACCAGTAGCTCTAGATATTTTATCGTTGACGACGTCGACATTAAGTTTTAACACACCAGACTAGGGCGTTTTCCACTTGAGAGTTGGGTTAGGAGCATTCGAAGCTTATATAGGAGAATTGTGAATATATAATACTTTATAGCATAGATATGGTACTTTATAGAAAAACCATAATAGAAAATTTGTAGGAAATAAATCAATAACATAGCATAATTGCAAATATAATCAATACTTGCTTTATATATAATAATAATACTTTATAGCATAAATGTAGTACTTTATAGCAAAAATGTAATAGACAATTTGCAAAAAAATAAAATAACAGAATTGCATATATAATAAATACTTTAAGTCTTATATATAATACGGAGTACTTTATAGCATAAACGTAATACACATTTTGCAGTGAATAAAATAATAACATAACAAAATACAAATATCATCAATACTCCTTATATATAATACTTTATAGTATAAATGTAATTATTTATATATATATATATATATATATATATATATATATATATAAACTATAATAAGCAATTTGCATAAAATAACGTATTAAGACCTAAATTCTCCTAACCCGACTCGTCTCACGAACATACAGTTTCACAAAAAAAAATTTCATAAATTTAAGACACATAATATGTTAGCTACATATACATAATTTATTAATTGCATACACATAATTATTTATTAAAGTTAACATATTATATGTCAAGGACTCTTGAATTCTTGATATTTTGGTATGCATGCATTGTTTTTAAAGAAGGCATTGATTTCTTCAATCCATTAATGATATTGCTCTTCGTCATGTTAGGCACTTATCGAATTATGTAACTCAAGTCTTTAATAGAGCTACTGGATTTCAGTGTGGCTCAAAGACTTGGAATATCAATCCACTCCTTGTATTTCTGATTCTTTTATCACGTATTAATTAATTAATGTTGATTGCTTTGCTTTGGTTTTCCACTAACATAAAATAAAATAGTCAAGAATATCCCAAAAAAAAAAAAAAAGCATCCAAAAATGTCTACTACAAATTTATAATAATATAATCTATGTACTTCTAGGCATCAAATTTTAAAGTATATTCTTCATTGTTATTCTAATAGAATTTAACCCTAACTCCGACTCTTTTTCTCTCTATTTTGGTAGAGGTGGCCATGGTTTGGTTCAACGGAAGGGTCAAAATCGAATTGTACACTATTTGAACTAATCAAACTTGAACCATAACAACATAAAAAGATTACAATTACATGGCGTTTGGTTGGAGGGGGAAATTACGTGGGAAATGAATTGTAATTCCATGGGAGTTGAATTACTGGGAATAAAGTGGGAATTTAAATTCCAGTGTTTGGTTGATAGGAATAGAATTAATGGGAATTTCAATTCCAATGTTTGGTATACATGGGAATTGAAAGAGAATAAGTAGTATAAAGTAAAAAATGTCCATTATTGTTGTTAGACATTAATTTTAGGTTAAAAAATGAAGGGGTAATTTTGACTCATCACTATCTTTTTTTTCCCAGGAATTAAAATACCAGGGGGGGGGGGGGGGGGGACATGGGATTTTAATTCCATGAAAATGAGGGAATTGCAATTCCCTCCAACCAAACTACGGAATTTAATGGCCTTTGGAATTATGTGGGAATTAAGTGGGAAGAGAATTTAAAATGCCTCCAACCAAACGCCCTGTTAAGGTTCGAATTTAATAACTGTGGTTAAAATTAAAGTTTACATTTTTGTGAACTGTGAGTTGTCAATTCATGAATCGAACTGGATGGTTCACAGTTCCAAACTGTTTTATATATATATATATATATATATATATATGCACACCATTGCATTTTTGTTAAAAAAAAACATGTTAAATTTTAAAATGTATAATAATAATAATTTGGTTAACCTAAGATTCATGAATTGAAATTGACATTTCATACACCGCCAAAAAATTATATATTAATAGTTAAGGTTACATTTTATACTATTTGTGAACCGTTAACCATCAATTCGAAACCATTAACCGAATTCAACCAAATCGAACGGGGACCACCTCCACATTTTTGCATAGCATGATATTCATTAATTAACATGTTAGTTTTAATTGAGTTCTTGAAGCACATTGAAAATAAAATAAATATTGTTTGTGGGAAATAAAGAAGGTTGGAAAGTTGCAAGCTGGAGTTATTGGACCACTAGGAAATATTTGACGAGGAATATGCCACACGGTCGGTAGGAAAATAGTTGGTTGGGAGAAGAGAAGAAAATAGTTGGTTGGGACTTGTGAGGTAGTAAATGAACATAGAAAAAGTAGTTGAACTTTTCATATTCTTTATTAAAATAGGGTATTATCTTAAAAGAAAATATTTTATATCCCAGTTGTTAATAACTTAATAATGTAACATCCAAACAATTATTAATATATTATATATTTAGTTTATTTACGGGAAAATGTCGATTTCAATCCATTAATTATAGCTATATTTTTTAGACTCAGTCAATATATATATATATATATATATATATATATATATATATATATACACTAGTTTTTTTACGCGCATTGCGCGATTGAGATAATGTCTAATATATATTTTTTTTTAAATAAGTACTATAAAATATATAAATATAAGATTATGTTGAAATTATTCATGCATAGATAATTGAATGTTGAATTTGCGTATTTAAATATATAATTCTAAGTTTATAAATGCAAGATAATATAGTCAAGATTGATTATAATTGTCAATAAAATAATTGTATGGGTATGGTTGAAACTAAATACGGAAAATAAGGGAGAGCAAATAAAAATTAGAGCATAAAATATTAAATATATACTAATATTGAAGAGCTAACTGCTGATTGCCAAACAATAAAATTGCGAGATAGTTTCACTTCAATTTGTTGTGTGATTTTAATACTCTTCTTGTCAATAAATCTCCCAAGTAGTTAATATGATTGACATAATTATACTTTTTATTTTTTTATAACAATTATTATTATTATTATTATTATTATTATTATTATTATTATTATTATTATTATTATTATTATTATTATGTATACCTTAGGTCATTTTACATGTTAATCTAAACGGCTAATATTTTCAAATATCTTTTTACCAACCGTTGATATAATTCGCTGGTCAAATCCGCTAACGCTAATTGTTAACTGCTGATTATCAAACAATGGCATTGTGATGTAGTACTCACTTCAATTTGTTGTGTGATTCGAATACTCTCTTTGTCAACAAATTTCTCAAGTAGTTAATATGGCTAGCTTTATTAATTATGTTTTTTTTACTAATAAATTCTATTATATATATATATATATATATATATATATATATATATATATATATATGTTCTCCTTTAATTATGTGTAAAGTGATCGTTTCAATATATTACTAATAAATTCTATTAAAATTAACGTTGAACCTTAAATTTCTAAATTATTGAAGAACATGTTAGTCATTACATAAAGTTTTCTCAACTAAATCTTTATATATGCATTTTTTTTTCATTCATAATGAAGAATTCTTAGTTTTCTAAGATTTATAAACATGTATTTACTTATCTTTAATTTCAAGATTAAATGCGAATTTACTAGTTAGGAAATGGTTATCTTTCTAAATAATCAATCTATGGTGATATTTATATGCTTGGTTTTATATTTCTAAAATAGTATAATATATAATCAATATGTCTTATTTGTAATGTTTTTTGTTTCTTACATAGATTCTTGAAGAATATTTATGCAAAATGATGCTCAAATGATAGAAATTGATTTATGAATTATAATATGTATAATATCAATTTTTATATTAACATTTCTTTATGTGAGCAAACTATTTATATGTGTGTGTGTGTGAGATCTAATATGTTTGTTTTTTGTGATGTCTTGTTGCAAAGAAAAAATTGAAAATGTAATTATGATAGTTCTTCTTTTTTTTTTTTTTTTTATTTATTAAGAAAATAGAAATGGCATGAATTGGAAGTACCTATACATTGAAGACTCATTCCAACGTATTGACATGAAAACAACAAAGTACTTAAATTCGGAATATTTAGTAAACTTGGAAACCAAAACAATTTTGAAGTTTCAGCTACACTCCAATGACCCCCCCCCCCCCCCAAAAAAAAAAAAAAATTGCATGTCAACCTCAACGATTAATTAATTATTTAACACAAAATGATATAAATAAAAAATAATTAACTAAGGTGTCCCTCAATAATTTGGAGATTTAAAATGTATTATTAATATTAACATAATTTGTAAGTGGTGGATTAAAATTGTCACTCTACACATTTTTTTTGAAGGTCAACCAATGTGGTTGTATTTATAGATAAACTGAGATAGTGTCAGGCGGGACATCGTCCCAATACATAGCTGTAGTAAATTGAAAAGCAGTAGAAGCTAACATATGTGCTAAGTAATTCTGCGATCTAGGGATAAAGATAACTGAACAGGAAGTAAAAGTAGA